AGAGGAAACCATATGCCAGTTGAACAAGGGATCGATTCTCCATCTGAAGATAATATTTCTGAAGACATAATGGTGAAGCACGATCAATTTGTCAGCTCTATGCAGTCTCGTTTGGCTAAGTTACAGGTAACATGAAAGCATTCAAGCTGTGATAAAGTTGTTTCCTCAGTCCTAATAGCTTTAATACCTAAAGAAAACTTGACTGAAAATGTTGGTTATGGTTTACATGTGTTTGCATATTACATTATACCTTCCCAATGTTGGTTGAGATGCCAAAGACTTCTGATTTAGGGATTCAAAAGACATCTAATTTATATCTTCCTAAAACGCTTCACCAAATTTGCAGGTAGTTCGTAGATATTGGGAAAGGAATGATGTAAAAAACACGATAGGTTCGATGGAGAAGATGGCTGATAATGCTGTAAGTAGTATCTTCTAGTTCTATTAATAGTGGATATCTGAAAAAGATAATCAGCTCAAGCAACTCTTGTTATTCCTTGGTTACAGGTTATTGCGGATGTCCTGGGTATAATAACCGAGAGAAATGAGATTCTGACACTGGATACTTGTACCTCCCTTCTTCCCATCTTAACAGCTCTTTTAGGGAGTGACATGGATCAGTAAGCATTTACTTTTCTCAATGAATAATTGCAGAGTCTTCCTGCTTAGTTATTTATGTCTGATGGATACAAAGAAACAGACTTGAATCTTTACGATCATAGCTGCAATACATGTGTGATTTGCGTTCATAATGTATCTAACACTATTATCTTATGTTTAGGCATTTGAGCGTTTCCCTGGATTTACTGCTCAAGTTGGTTAGAATGTATGGTTCACCAATTTACTCATCACTGTCAGCTCCAGCATCTGTTGGTGTAGATATCGAAGCTGAGCAAAGGTTGGCTTAGTTTCAACCTTTTCTGCATATCTAAGCCATTGTGTATACTCTCTTGGAATTCAACAACACATGTTTAATTGCTATGCAGGATCGAGCGCTACAGTCGTTGCTTTGTGGAACTAGAGAAAGTCAAAGCTTGCCTTCCCTCTCTATCAAGGTAAGCACCGTGACTTGGTGAGATATTTCATAGTTCTCATCAACGTTTTAAGAATCTGTATGGCTCACATGTATCTTTGTTGGGCTGTTTGTAGAAGAGGAGGTTTGGTGGCCAAGTCTGTGCTTGAACTTAACCTAGCATTTCAGGAAGTTTCATCATAATGACTATGAATCTTACAACCCAACAAAAAAAGCGCAGAGCAAAGCCCATCTTCTTCATACTAACAAAATAGGGGTGTTATGGCAAACTTTTATTAGATAATTTTTTACATATTAGCCTTTTCCTCGCCTTCGTTTTAGTATTTTTGATGTAATCATAAACCATGAAAAAATTTATGAAAATTTTGATTTAATCTAACCACCATAAACGTAATTGGCATAAGAAGGAAAAATAACTTGTCAATATTTGGTAGTGGAAAACATCATACAAATATACCTTTTTGGTTTATAAGATATATTTTACAAACGTGTTTTTATTTAATAATTATTTTAAAGGTAGGTAGTAGTGGCCAAATCAAATGTATAAAGGAAGAAGAAAGAAAAACTAATAAAAAATAAAAGACATAATAAAACAAAACTTGGAAAAAAAGGACAATCTCTCAAAACTGCAATAAACCCAACAGACTAGAGCTTTCTTGAGGAGACGAAATTGCCAAAACGATGTAACGGAATTGTCATCTACTACCTAATAAAAACAGAACTATTCATTTCAACTTTTTATTTTTCTTTACTGAAATAAATTTTAGAAAGGTGGAATTGACTGTGAAGTAGCAATCTCATATGCGTCTCTACTCTGCGTTACGTTGAGAGACAACGACCATACAGGCTTTTTTTTCTGTACAACTTACTCTTCTTCACCTTCTACGATCTTCCCTCTTTTTTTCCCAGACCAAACTGGTCACTTTCATTTGTCTCTTTTGTAGATTTAGATTCTCTTCTTCTTCTTTTTTTCTTTATTTCTTTCAATTATCGCACTACGAGCATGATCTACAAGTCTTTGTAATTTGTGAATGTTTTAATACAAATAAAATATTCCCTTTTGTATAATCATTTCTTCCAAACTACAAAGAGTTAAACCATCTTTGCCAAGGACTTAAGATGCATGTAAATATGTAATGGATAGAGCCGGATTTGGGGACAATCTGATGAAACATCTGCCTACAGCCAAAAAAATTTTCTTTGGTTCTTTACGAATTTTTCAGCCCCCAAATCACAAAAAAAAAAAAATTTGTTCATAAATTATTTCTATCCCCCAAATTCTCAAATCCAGTAATGGAATTTAGTTATTTTTATATTAAATTCTTTGATATTACGTTTGGTGCACAGTCTTTTATGTCAAATATTAGCTCCCACTTGTAATTCTACGCCTGATGAGATGAGACTGTATAGTCTAAGTATGCATGTGATTCTCTGAAGAACAATTCGATCACATGATCATGCAATTCAATAATAAACGAACCAGTTTTGCAAAAAGACGTCACAAAACTAAACAGTATAGTCTAAAATCTTCATTTTTTAAAAGCAAGAGAAAATATGCTATTGGTAATTTCGTTCAACAGAAAGCAACCAAATGTTCTAATGTGTACAGGTGCATCAGGTATAATCAAACTTTAGAGAGTAATAAAATATGGTTAGTTTTTAGACATTAGGAGATAATAGTGTAGTATAGTATGAGATGACCCTTCAACAACTACAATGCTTTTGTAATGCTTAATTAAACTCCTTAAACTTAAATCGATAAGAGAAATTTAATTAAAACAAACAGTTACAACTACAACTATAAGCCAGAAAACCTCGTAAGCAAAACAAAAACTACAAGCAAGAAATCTTTACCCATACCGCCCATTTTGTTCGAACTGCCTTCTATTTCTATCGCCGATTCTTACTGTTTTGTGGATTAGTAAATAGTAAGAAAATACCAAACAGCAGAAGATTATTTAAAGATTAAAGGTGTACATTTGTAAATGGATAATTATAAAAAATGTATATGTATAAAAAAAAAGTGAGAGGTCAACATCAATTCTCCTCTTGGTACAGCTCTACAAACAAAGACAAAAGACAGAGATACTGCTTTTATAAGTAGTCTTCCTTCTCCACATTTGACTTTATTCACTATTGCAGCTCTCTTTCTCTCTCTCTATCTAACTCTTGGCCAAAAACAAAGAGAGGAAGAAGCAACAATGGGATGCATAATGGTAATGGAGCTTGGGAAAACGAAGAAGAAGCTAATAAGAAGCATTTTATGGAGAATCAGAGCAGAGATTAAGAAGATGAAGAAGAAGATGAGATCACCAAGACACAAGAATCAAAGACAGACCAGTTTCAACTACGATCCGCTTAGCTATTCTCTTAACTTCGACTCTCTTTAATCGAGAAAAAAGGAAAAAGACAGTGTTGGATGTTTAGATAAATATGTATGTCTTGAAGCTGGTTTGTTCTCTCTATATCAACATCAACTTGTGTGATATACATATGTAAGTTTCTAATTCTAGGTTTGTTATTAACTTGTTATATTATGTATTAATTGGGTTATTAGTAACTTAATACTACTATCAATGAGTTAGTTTGAAAATTAATCTATCGTTTTACTTCTCTGATGGAGACCGAGAAAAGAATAACAATTTTATACTCCGTTTCTCTGTGCATGATATGTATTCAATCTCGAAAGTGGTTTTGGAGGTAAAAAGTTATTCTATAATCTCCCAATGATATCATATTGGAAAGTGGAAACAAGAGAGAGAGAGAGAGAGTTTCATAATTATCTCTTCATTTGATAACCAATAGAAGAATAAACACATGCCTATCTTCCTTAAGAAGATAGAGAGAGTACTTTAGTGTTAAGACGATGTAATTAGATATTCCGCTAATTCAAAAAGGAAAGAGAGATTCCTTACTCTTTTTAAACAGAATTTGAAATAAGTAAAATGAGTATAAATGATCTATAAAAAAAAAGGGAGACATGAAAGAGAGAGAGAAGAGAAGAGGTTAGGGTCTGAGATTCTCTGAGCCGTGGGCACAGTAAGCGAGAAGTGGTAAATTCACCTTCCCATCACCCTAAACACCCTAAAAAGTCTTCTCATCACTGCAACACCCCCACATGCCTATCTTTCTTAGCCTTTTTTCACATCTCCATTTTACTTTTACCGTTATGCACCCAACTTTTCCAATTTTTACTAGCTTTTTTTCCTTATTTAATCACTTTTTTTTATTAATAAAAACTTATATCCGTTTCATTACGACCCAAAGTTTAATAAAACCTCTCGACAAGAAGAAGAAAACCCCTGCACTAGTGTTCCACCTGAATGTCTAAACATCAAACACAAATTATGGGTCCAAAAAGTAGTCACTAATAGAATTACTATAAACTATAACTGGTGGAATATAATTGTGTGGGATAAAGAAATTAATTTTTCCAATTAATTCCACTCATTCCATGCAAAATGGTAGCAGAAGAATGTGTCTTCTCAAGTTTTTTAGAAGAACTAGGAGTACAGTTACTTTTCACACTTTTTAATTTAAATGTTGTAAATGTTTTTTAAATGCTTAATTTCACCAAATTTTGTTCATCTCAATAGATAATTCATTTGCACCGTATGTTCTTAACTGTATAATTTTGTAACATCTGTTAGTTATACTAGATTGGGCCGGACCATTATATTTTAGTTTTCGTTCACTGGGCAAGACCATTATATTTTATTTTTCGTTCATTGGGCAAGACCAATTATTAAGCTCTACTGAATAATTTTGGGCATTGCTCGAATTTCAAGCTACATAATGGGCCTTCTAGCCCAAATATTTAACCGCAAAAACCCACCATGACAAAGAAAGAGAGACGGCAAAAATTCACCCAAAAGCATCGCTAATACAAAACCAACGGTGGCTTAGATGGCCAGCTCAATGATCCACGTGAAAAGCATAAAATAGAGCGAAAAAAATGATGCGGCGGGATTATATTGGCGCCCTAACTCGGCGAAAACGAGTTTCGTTTCCCTCTCAAATCCTTCCCTTTTCTTCTCACAGCTTCTCTCAAGTTGTCATCGAATCGATTTCTCGAGTAAGAAATTTTTTTCTCCCTCCTCCGATCTTAGGATAACGAGTGAAGAACTAAAGATAGATATGGCCGGTGGTGGATCGTCGAACTCAAACGCACCAAAACAGAGGAAAAGGGTGGAAGCCGAAACCAAACCTGAAACCAGCAACACCAATACCTTACTTCGCGCCAAAGATGGCAGCGCTTTCGCTCGATGGTTCTTATTCTTCTCATTTTTCGATCACCATTTTGATTCGGATTTACTAAGTTTCGATTTAGGGTTTTCTGATGTTAGGGTATTAGCAATTAGGTTCTAATTATGTGTTGTGGATTTAAACGGTTTCAGTGAAGGATGCAACAAGAACGTAGCTGTGGCGCTTATAAGTATGCACAATTGCAGTCTCGACGCTAAGATCAGAGTGAATCTGGGTAACTAATTCTTCGTTTTTCCCACTTCTTCCTGTATTTTTGTTTCATCGTCGCATAACCACTTTGTAATGAATGATTTGTGTTCTCTCTTTCAGAAGCACAAGTTGTTGAGACGCAAACAGAGGCCAAGAAAAAACCTATTGTTGAGAGGTAAAATTCGTTAGCCTTGTTTCTGACTGTATTTGTTGTCTTCTATATGTGATCTTTTGATTCATGGTAATGTTTGGATCTATCAGGAAGAAGCCAACATCTGATGCACCTAAGCCAAAGAGACTTAGAAAAGCCAAGGATAACAAGAAGACCTCTACCTCAAACAAGCCCAAGCGGCCTCTTACTGCCTTCTTTATATTCATGTAATCGTCTCACATTTACTGATTTTTGTTGATGGTTATATCTACTCTCTTAGGGATGGTGCTGATGTTGCCTTCACTTTGCGCAGGAATGATTTCCGTAAGACTTTTGGAGAAGAGAATCCTTACTCTAACGTTAAGGATGTAAGGCTATGGCTGGGCTCACTACTGTTCTTGATTACTATCTTTAGTGGCCAGAGACTTACTAGACCGTTGTATGTATATGATTGTAGGTTGCAAAGCTGGGTGGTGAAAAGTGGAAGTCTTTGACTGAGGAAGTGAGTTTCTCTGTTCTTTGTTTCTTCCCTGAGGTTCGTGGTGATTTGCTTATTGTGTTCTTACTCTGGCTGTGCTTCTTTGATCATTTAGGAAAAGAAAGTGTATGTGGATAAAGCTGCTGAACTGAAGGCAGAATATAACAAGTCACTGGAGAACGATGCTAATGAGGAAGTATGTGTTTCATTATTAAATGGTTTGTCTTTCCTATTTATCTTTATTACATGGAATCTTGAGTTCTGAGATGTTATGGTGACTCTTTCAGGAGGAGGATGAGGAGATGCAATCTGATGATGTTGATGATGCTGGTGCTGAGGAGAAGCAGCCTGACGATGTTGGTGATGCTGAGGAAAAAGAAGCTGATGAGGCTGTTGAGACTGTTGAGAATGAAGTTGAGAACAAAGAAGCTGAAGGTAAAGAAGAAGTGGAAGAAGAGATTTTGGATGACTACTAGAAGTGCTAAGCTTTCTTTGGGTCTAATCTCATTGAAATGGATTCACTCTTTATCGTTATGATGCATTGTAAATTTCAAACTTTATCATCGCTGAATTAGTTATCTGAAGCCAGTTGTGAGCAAGGGAAGTTTTTGTAGTTCACGGAATGGTATTTTCCTTTTAGACAAGTGATGAAGCTTATGTTTTCTGTTTTTTACCACTGATGTAGAATTGAATGTTATCATCATATCATTTGGTTTGAAGCCTTGCTTTAATCAGTAATGTGTTCTGCTGGTTGAATCAAAGTGATAATAATTTATTTAAATGAAAACAATACCACGAGAATACAAAAGTAGGGATTGAAACAATAGAATTGTAAGAAAAAGAGTAAAAAAAAAAAAAGACAAATAGAAGATATCATCTATTTTTTTTGCGGAAATGCGTAATAGGATTAAGATCAAGTCAGCGTTGGACTGGCCACTTTAAATGTGTGTTACTTTCACTTCATTGTCTTCCTGCAAAGTGGTAATGGCTTGCCACACAAGCAAAGGTTATGCAGATAAGCAGCTGCAGGAAAGATGTTGAATGGTCTTCCTTGTGGAATCAATCCGCACAATCTGTTGGCTCTGAAGCTCACATGTTTCATTGTCTTGATGTTCAATAAGCTATCCGGGATTCTTCCTGAAAGTGCATTGATCGAGAGGTCGAGCCAACTGAGCTGCGCGAGCTGTCCTAAAGCTGGAGGTATGACTCCTGTAATATGATTCCTTGAGATGTCTAGTCTCACAAGTTCAGCAAGGTTTGATATTGAACTTGGGATTTGTCCACCGATTTTGTTGCTCCCTACGTTGAGTACTTTCAGGTTCAAGCTCTCTGCGAAATCAGGGATCCTCCCTGAGATTTGGTTGTTGGTGAAATCGATCTCTTCCAAGAAGGGGCTTGTCTTGTTGTTTAACAGGCTTGAAAGCGACCCTGTCACTAGATTTGAACTTAGATCAATGGAAGACACCCCTTCTGGCAACTTGAGCTTTGAGAGATCGAACCTGAGCTGGTTCTTTGAGAGTTTCACTTTCTGAAGACTGGTCAATTTTGTGAGGAAAGCTGAAACATCACCTGTTAAAAAGTTGTCAGACAAATCTAGCGAGCTCAAGTCTTGTGGTTTTGTTAGCTTTGGAAGGGCTCCTCTTAGTTTGCAACCAGCCAAGTTGATATTTGTAAGTTGCTTATCTCTGATCCAGCTTGGTATAGCTCCAAGATTAAGGTTGTTGTAGGAAAGATCAACGGACAGTAGAGAAGGAAATCCTCTGCCTACGACAACAGGCAGTGGATCGGAGAACTGGTTTCTTGAGAGATTGAGAGACCAGAGATTCTGCAGTCTTGTGATCGATGCCGGTATGTGACCAACGAACTTGTTGCTGCTCAAGTCAAGGTTAGTGAGCGACTTCAAATTGCTGACACGTTCTGAGAGTGGTCCAGTCAGATGATTTCGCTCCAACGACATGTCCTGAAGCTTCCCCAAATTGTAAACAGAAAGTGGTAACCCCCCTGATAATCTGTTGCTGAACAGATAAAGATTGGTGAGATTTCGAAACTGACCTATGAAATCTGGGATCGGTCCAGATAACAAATTGGAGCTGAGATCAAGAGTCTGAAGCTTGAGAAGGTTCTTGAAAGTCGCTGGGATTGGACCGGAGAGAGAGTTTCGAGCCAAACTCAACATAGAAAGGCTTCTCAAGTTCCCCAAACTCGCCGGGACAAGACCTGAGAAGCGATTCCCAGCTAAAGATAGAGTTTCCAACAATGGAGGATGGCCTAAACAAGAAGGAAGATTGCCTTGGAGAGAATTATCATCGAGCACGAGTGTGGTAAGTTGAGTTAGGCTAGAGAAGCTGTTAGGGATCGAACCAGTGATGAATTTGTTTCCAGTAATGATCAAAACCTCGAGAGATCCGAGATTCCCCAGTGAAGGTGATAATGTGCCTTTCATGTAAAGAGTAGGTTCCTTCTCGGAGCTTTGCAACACCAAGTGTGTGACTTTTCCGGTGGCCGGATTGCATTGAACACCTTCCCAATCTCCATTGCAACAGTCTTTGCCGACCCATGAAGACAGAACTCCTGTTGTGTCCTTGATGATGCTTGATTTGAAACCCAGAAGTGCTGCTCTGTCTTGGCTTGAGCAGATTGCTTGAGATGAAGAGTGAACGAGATTATGAAGAAGAGCAGAAACAAACAAGAGATTCAAAACCCATCTCAGGTTTTGCATTTTGGGAAAATGGGTTTTGATCAGTTTAACGCAGAAATGGTTAAAAATAAGACTTTTCTTTTTTTCTCAGACAAAGGAATCTGACAGGAGTTAACTTTGGCTCGAATTGGGATAAAGGGAATTAAACAAAAACTGTTTTTATTATTGTGTTCCTTCACTTAGACAGGAAGGTATAATGATCCATCCATAGAATAAATAAAAAAGGGAAAAAAAAGAAAAGAAAGAGTAGCAAAAAAAAAGATATTTTCTTTTCACTTTAGTCAAAAAAAAAATGAGAATTGGTGGATTAAGTCTGGTGGGATCTGGAAAAATTATCCACCTTTACTTATAGCAGTGGTGAAAAAGAGAATAATTTTGTTTTTTTGAAATTTTACACAAAAGGTCTTGAAGAGATTCACATGGAGAATTGTGACCGTTGGATGAATCACGAGGATCCCTATTGCATTTTCGAACGTTGGAGCGCAAATCAGTTTGAAAATTGTTTACAGTAGTCGTTTCTTTGTTTTTACATTATAAGCATTCTTCTTCTTTTTGTTCAAGCTCTCAAGAGGACATCATTAAATAAATTCATGTGAATTCGTGATATAGGCCACAATTTGTCTCATAGTATACTTATAATATTAAAAAAACAATACAGTAGAAATTTTCAAATAAGGTTGTCAAAACCGGATTAAAATATGTTTGTGATTGTGAGGCTTTAGTGTTAAGGTGTTTGTCTACAAACACATGATTCAAATACCATTCATTGATCGTAATGTATTTTGATCGATTATTTTTTGTTTTGGTTCATAACCATATGACATTGAATAGTCTTAATGATGGTGATAAGATCCCAGGAAAATTAAGATTCTTTTTGTATTAATAGACGATAACCAGATGATTATAGTTTTTAATAAATTCTTATTGGTTGAACAATCGATTTCTATTGAATACACCCGTGATAATTTTTTGAATTAATATGATAAGTTCAAATCACGTATACAATTATGAACTCCGATTGTTTTAAGACAGAGAAGATAAATTTATATGATTACAAATTTTTGAGAGATTAGATCATTGAATACCAAACTTATTTTGAACAATCGACTTTTTAGTACAAAAAAACACCAAACTTTTTAGCATTTGAAAGGATGGCTTGCTATAGGAGATACTATTTGATAGTTGAATATTGTATATACCGATGTTATTTTTGCCCGCCTGTTGATTTGAGACAAATCTACCTTCGACTTTCGTATCTTAATTTATAAGACAAAGTAAGATGGAAATTAAAAAAATTAGATATGTGTCGTTGAATTATTATTATTTGTTTGTTAAATGGTCGTTACAATCTTTGGGCTGCAACTTATAGATCAACATCATTTGAATAAAGCGATGCTAATTTTGGCAACTTGTTGATTTGAGATAAATCTACTTTTATAAGACAAATTAAGATGGGAATATGGGTCGTATAAATTTGAGTATGAAAACCATCAGTCTGAATTTATTGACCATTTCCCCCTGAAGTAAACGAATATATATGTGGTCACCAAAGAGAACTGCAAAGTTTATTTTTGTAATAGACAATAACACAACTCCCAATTCCATCCACTATTTATGTGGTCACCAAAGAGAACTTTTCATACACCAATAAGAATGCTAGAAATAATAATTAAACTGTTAACAATCCAATAGCAACTTGATACATTATTGATTATCTTAATTTATTATCCGATACATCACTTTGACTACATAATTTTTTAAAAAAATAACTTGTAATGGATCATAATTCCGATGATAAAAATGAAAAAAAAACATATTCGTAAGTTCGTATTAGTATCCACGATCGTCAGTCTACGAAATTTTAACTTTTACCTAAAATATGTATTCTTAAAGATCGTCAGTCTAATCATTTGGTATATATAGTGTTTTTTTTGAAGAAATATTATAATAATCATCGTCAATTGGATTATCTCGATCGCAAATCTAGAAGACATAAGCTAAATTGATATATAAAATTAGTATCGAGCGTTTGATTTTGAACTTTATTTGCTGTTCTTCGCTGTAAGGGTTTGATTTTGATTTGTTTTAGTTTTCTTTCTCTCGAGTGTATTTTAAAAGCGTCAATTGCGGCTTGATAACGGTCCATGTAGGACATAACCAAAACTTATATTTATATATACATACATGATACACATACACACACATATATATTAAATAAATTGTTAAGGTTCAAAGAAAAAAAAAAAAAACATGCCATATGTTAAGGAGAATAGTTTTGAACATGTTGGCAAACATCTTATCTATCAATGTATTTGGAGAATATCTTCTCGAAACTCATACGTTCACCATTGTCCCAACGACCCAACCATATGTATATATGTTCATTAAACGTGGACGTATTGATGTCCCCATCCCATGATGTTTATATTTGTTTCGCAAAGGGCTTTAAATAGGCTTTGTTTTTACATTCCCACGATGTTAACATTTTGTTTTTGTGTTAAAGCATATCACATGCGGTTAACATGCCTGTTTAGGTCCGCTAATTCTAGATCATATATAACACTCCTAATCTTATTTTACATACCACATCGACCGATCGACGTTAAGAGGTCTTAACCAGAGCAGTTTAGGATCTGTTAACCGGGTTACGCAAACCCACACAATGAAAGGGTTCTATATTCTACTTAAGTCATTTTTTCACCAAAATTTCGAGCATATTCTTCTTTTTCGAATGCTTCCAACTTTCAGTACGCACGTTTTTGTAGAACCAAATTTTTTATTTTCTGTTTTAGCTCAAAAGTAACAGTAAACCGACATTTACTTTTAGTTTGGTGTAGAAATTAAAGCAGTAACTAATTTCTAATTAGAAACAAAAATTCATTAGTTTTCTAAGTTCCCGTAAAAATTGGATTAAACAATTCGTAGAAAGGTCTTCAAAATTTGAATGCGAGTAAAGTGTTTGGAATTTGACAGCTAGAAACGACGACAATGTGGGAGTTGTTAATGGTTACTATATCGAAAGGGTTTACAAAAATCATTTGTGGTGTTTCTGGGTTTTATATTATAAAGTTTTGACCCTACATTCCCTTGACAACCTAAGATCCAAATCATTGTACTTCTTTTTCGCTGTGTTTTTTTTTTTTTATCGCCGGAAGAAACTGAACTTTTCTGTCTTTCTGGGGGTCCTTTTGAAGAAGAATATACTTGAATCTTTTTGCCCATAAAGAAACAAATAACAACAACAAGAATAGAAGAAAAAAATCACCTTATAATACCAAAACTATCGAATTCAAGCCCAATAAACCATATAACAAATTTAAAGCCCACTGTTTTGTTGACTATTTGGGCCATGTTTTTGATTTCGATTTTGGATTCTCCCGTAAAGTCGAATCCTTTTGCGTTACACGGGATCTGCTTCTCGTCGGCGGCTAACCAAATTCTCTGGGAGGTTTTGCTCGAACGGAAAAAAGGAAGACATGGGTCAAGCTCAGAGTAACGAGAACTCTGCGTCATCTGAAATTCCAACGACGACGAAGGCTACTCCTCCTCCTCCTACGAATTCGCCGCGGCCCTCTGATGGCGATGATACTTCGTCGTCTCCGATGGGTTCTCTCCTTGCAGGTTCGGTGGTCTGTATCTAGTTGCATAGGCAAGTTTTGTGAATTGGGATTCGTTTTGGTCTATGCTTGATTGGTGATGACTGATGATGCTGTGGGGGTATGATTTTGCTTGGCATTGAAATTTGCTTTTCTCCATAGTAGTCATCGAAATGTGTTGTAGACAAGTCATTCAAGTCTCCTTTAGTGTATCAAACCCAGAAAGGTTCTTGCTTGTTGGAAGATACCTTAAGTCTTTATATGCTTGTAGTTTCTAGTCTAGTGTTAGCACAATGAAAGCTCTTCGATTACCAGTTATAAGCTCTATCGTTTACATAGTTCGATGTTTCAGAAAATTTTATATGCACTTTTCTGTTGTTGGTCTCTGCGGTACTTGACATCCATGTACTCTCTTCAATATCACAGAAGTTGCAGCATATGGTGAGGATGACAATGAGAATGAGGTTATTCCTCCAGCTTTTGTCATATTCAGTTTTCCGCAAGCTTTTTTGAGTTACCGAGTTATCTGACAAACTCCAATTCCATCAGTCGCTTGAAGAAAAGGCACAGAGAGCACTCGATTGTCCTTGCGTAGCGGATCTGCGTAATGGACCTTGCGGCTCTCAGTTCACCGAGGCATTCCTTTGCTTTCTCAAGAGCACTGCAGAAGAAAAGGTAACCGTAACTCAACATACTATATACTAAATTGTGTAGGATGATATAGTTGTCTCTTTCGTTTTGGATATTTAAAACGTTCCGGTGCCCGTTGGAAGAGAATTTAACAAGGATAATGGATGTGGTGTTGTTGCAGGGATCAGACTGTGTACATCCATTTGTGGCACTGCAAAGCTGTATCAAAGCCAACCCAGGTGCATTCTCTAAAGAGGTTCTAGAGGACAAAGAAGATACCGAGAAAAAGGAAGAGCAGCAGCCTGTGAAAGACCATAGAATCATCCCTCCTCTATGGGCAAAGGACCCGCCTCGCAGTGGCGAATCCAAGCTTTAGAAGATCAACAACAATGGAGTCTGCATAAGAAGCTATTCTTTTCTCTTTTGATTCTTCTCTTCGGACAACAGAGTGAAGAAAGTAAAAGTAACCATATGTTGTAAAAAGAGATCATATTACTCTTTTTTTTTAATGAAAGTTGAGATTTTTAGTTCGTTAAGTGTTAGTTTACATTGTGATGATCTTTGCTCTTTGTTCCCCCAAAACGAGTTGCTTAATCGGACGCTTAACCGTTTGGGTCAACTTACAGATTAAGGTTTATCTCGGTTCCATAATAATAAAATCGACCGGTTTAAATTCGGTTGATTGAGACATTAATTAGAAGTTAATCATTGCTTTTTAGTTCTTGTTTAAGATCGCAGCTATCTTTCTATTATTCTTTTGTTGTTTTCTGCAAAGCGTGGATAATGAAATGAAGCTCTCTCTCTCTCAACACTCAATAGATAGTTGCGTACTCACGAGTCACGAGTCTGCGAAGCGTGCACGGGAAGAAAGGATAATAGAGGAAGAGAGGAATCCCATTGAAACTGGAATCTCCAAGGCATTCTAGGGTACGATACCATTTCTGATCTGATTATTTGTTGTGTATCTTCGATGGAAGAAGACGGTGGCGGTTCGAAAGTGGGATTGCTGGAGAGTTTCATGAAGAACCAGCAGAACTCTTTGAAATCCCTTTTCCACCGGAAGAAATCGTCCGCCGGAGATGCGTCTCCGTCGCCTATCGCTTCCCCGAAACCCATCCCTCAGCTCTCCCTTCTCGCCAATTCCGTCGTCTCCCGCTGTTCAAAGTACTTTCTCTCTCTCCCTCAGTTTCTCGAACATTGTCAAGATTCATATGCATTTCAGATCCTAGGTTACACTGCTGATGCATTTGGTCCATCTAGGATTATACGCGATGTGATTATTGATATTCCTTACTCTTCTTAATCAAATTGGGTATTTCAGCGGTTTACATTGCTTAAGTCTAATTTGTTAATTGATTGAGGAAGCTTTTCATGGTTTTTTTATTCTTTGCCAATTTGTTCAGTATCCTTAAAATACCTACAGAAGACCTGCAACATCGATTTGATGTAGAGTTGCCTGAGAGTGTTAAGCAACTCTTGACATACGCAAGGAACTTTCTAGAGTTCTGCTCATTTCAGGCACTCCATCAAGTAATGAAACAACCTAATTACCTAAGTGATCAAGAGTTTCGTCAGCTGATGTTTGACATGATGCTTGCTTGGGAGACTCCAAGTGTCACAAGTGAACATGAAAACAAAGTGAGAAATCTATCTGGTTGCCATGTTGATGTTTCTTAAAACAGAGATATTTGGGTTGATGCTTTAGATCTTCTTGTCTTTGTATCATTTTTTCCAAGTTTAGGATGCAGCGTCTCCCTCTAAGCAGGACTCAGAGGATGAGGACGGGTGGTCTCTATTCTATTCAAGTCCCACAAATATGGCAATGCAGGTTATTTCCATCTTAGACTTCTTTTGCTTCTGCGTAAGTCAAATTTAGATGGACCTAACAGACGTTTTCCCTAAAAATATGCTTAACAGGTAAATGAAAAAAAGTCTGTCGGACAGGAGGCTTTTGCAAGAATTGCTCCGGTTTGTCCTGCCATTGCAGATGCAATAACTGTACATAATCTTTTTGATGCACTGACTAGCGCTTCAGGCCACAGGCTTCATTTCCTCGTATATGACAAATACATCCGCACACTTGACAAGTATGAACTTACCACTATTCCCTCAATTTGATTTTCTGCATTTGTTGACTTGTTGCACCATTTGATTGTTTATCATACGCAGATGATTATGTATTTTTCGTGTCTTTTTGGTTTCAGTTTACTTCCCTTAGTTTCCAATTTGCTTATTCTTACCTCAAGCACACCTATGATCCCTTCGGTGGCAAGATATGACGTCAATACCATATTACTTGCTCACTAATCTTAAAGTCTAAAGTTGAAGATAATTTTTTTGTGTGGTTAATCAGTGGTATCAAAAGAAGGAATAAATCTTCTTGGATATTATACCTCTGATTTAGAATGAGATAGATTCACAGAGTAACCATGTTTTGCTCACATTATCTTGCGGATGTTTATCTACTCAACATATCTGGTTTCTCTCTTATTTGTCCTCACCCAGTTTTCATTTGTAGAATTTTCAAGTCTGCTAAAAGCTCTCTAGGACCTTCAGCTGCGAGTCTTCAGCTTACCAAGGGAGAAATAGTTCTTGATATGGATGGTGCCAATCCTGTTCTACCAGTTCTTAAACACGTGGGTATCTCAGCATGGCCTGGTAAGCTTCTGGACAGATCTCTGCACATAATCATTTTATTTATGCTGACCTTCTGCATTGGCAATATATTATACCTTGAGCAAAGGGGAAACATGAAAATCGTTGTGTAGGTTGGTTTGATTTTTTTTCTTTTCCATTTAATAATTATTAAGCATTTCCTTTTGTAGGGAAACTGACGCTTACCAGTTGTGCACTGTATTTTGATTCAATGGGTGGTAGTGATAAGCCCATGCGATATGATCTCACTGAAGACACAAAGCAGGTCATCAAACCTGATTTGACTGGGCCATTGGGTGCTCGTATCTTTGATAAAGCCATCATGTACAAATCAATAATAGTGTACGTGTGCTAGTGGAATACATTGTTATTTCCGTCTCATTTTTTATCATTCACAAAATCTGTACTCATGGATACATGTCTTTTTTTGTATATACAGGCCAGAGCCAGTATATTTTGAATTTACAGAGTTCAAAGGCAATGCTCGTCGAGACTACTGGTTGGGTATATGCCTCGAGATCCTTCGTGTACAGTGGTTCATTCGAAAATACAACTTTAAAGGGGTTCAACGATCAGAAATACTTGCAAGAGCAATCCTTGGCATATTCCGTTACCGTGCAATAAAGGAAGCTTTCCAAGTCTTCTCTTCCCAATACAAAACATTGCTTATATTTAACCTAGCAGAAAGTCTCCCTGGTGGAGATATGGTCTTAGAAGCTCTATACAGCAGAGTTTCGCGCATAACCACCGATGTTATTTCGGATGTCAGTTGTGTTCAGTATATGAAATGGCCCTCAAGCTTATCACCAGTCTCACTCATATTGCTTGAGCATTTTGGGCTGAATCTAGAAAGTGGGACGAATATGGGTGAAGAAATGACAATCGTAGGAGATTTTTGTGTTGGGGAGACGAGTCCATTGGAGATAGCTCTGAAACAGTCAATCCTAGACACAGACAAGGCTGAAGCCGCTCAGGCGACTGTGAAACAAGTGAAAGTAGAAGGAATTGACACTAATGTTGCAGTAATGAAGGTATCATGAGATACTTCCCTGTTTCACCTTTTCCCCTTTTTTGCTTCATAGCTACTATTAACCGATAGTCTCATTGCAGGAGCTATTGTTGCCTTTCATCAAACTAGGCTTACGTATAGAACTCTTAGCATCTTGGGAAGATCCTTACAAATCAATAGTGTTCATGATCTTGGTCAGCTATTTGATTATCAGGTAAGATTTCAGCGTCAAAGACATGATGACATAGGATAATATAACGTTCCATCACAGGATAACTCATGAAGGCATGAAGCACGAAGAAATTGTGAAAAACGTAATGACATCAAAACTCTTGTTATGCTGTGCAGTGGGTGGATAGGTTTCATACTACCGTCAATATTACTCATCGTGGCTATAGTAATGTTGTGGCGTAAGCAATTCAACAAAGGGAAAGAACCGAAAGCCGTCCGAGTCAAAGCTCCACCAAGTAAAAACGCAGTGGAGCAGTTACTCGTACTACAAGACGCAATTAGCCAATTCGAGTCGCTAATCCAAGCCGTAAACGTTGGCCTCCTCAAAATAAGAGCAATTACTCTTGCAATTCTTCCTCAGGTATGATGTTAATAAATAACTGATGATGGCTAAGATAAAAAAAAAAAAGTGTCTTGCGGTTAGCATAACGCCCTTTCTTGCATGTTTTCAGGCTACAGATACATCGGCTATATCGCTTGTGATTGTGGCAGTTATATTAGCGGTTGTTCCGGTAAAGTACCTTATAACGATTGCGTTTGTAGAGTGGTTCACGAGGGAAGTTGGGTGGAGGAAAGCGAGTAGTGACCGGTTAGAGAGGCGGATAAGAGAATGGTGGTTTAGGGTACCAGCAGCTCCGGTTCAGCTCATTAGAGCCGATGAGAGCAAGAAGAAGAAATGACATATTTCTCTCTCACACGCATTGTCTCTGTTTCTAGACATCTGCTTTTGAATATCATGCAGCTAGAATTTGTTTTTTTTTTTTTCTTTTTTTTTCTTTTCAAGTAATGGTCATATTTATTCGGAAAAAATGAGACGCATAAACTCGTTTCGTCAATTTTCAAGTAATTTTCCATTTGAATAATTGCATTATGACTATAATATAGTCAACAAAAATTATCAGATGAAATCCAAAACACAATTGGCTAATTTAACGCTATATCTAGACTACAGAGAGTGATGAGTGTACTCATATGATGACAAGATACCAATTCCTAGGCTTAAGCATATTCTCCAGCAAAACCACATCAGCGGGGCAGGCCATAAAACTTATGGGACATAAAGAAGTTGAAATCACTGTGATTGAAGCCGAGTGTTTCCAGCCACGAGGAAGCAGATTCTTCATGCATCTCCATCTTATTATGATTATCAAATGTCCTGGGCATGATCCACACATCACCGTAGGCCTTGTAACTCACTGCTCCAAAAGGAGGAATCACAACTTCTGTTGTACTTGACATTCCT